TTATTAGTTTTATGCTCTTTGCCTTAAAGGTGTATATAACCGAGGTTGAGAGACAATTAGACAGAAAAGTGAAAATTATCAGATCTGATAGAGGGGGTGAATATTATGGAACTTATAATGAATCTGGACAATGTCCAGGTCCATTTGCTAAATTCCTTCAAACTAATGGCATATGTGCTCAATACACTATGCCAGGAACACCACAGCAAAATGGTGTTGCAGAAAGGCGAAATCGTACTCTAATGGAAATGGTTAGGAGTATGATGAGTAATTCTTCTTTACCCTCATTATTGTGGATGCATGCTTTAAAGACCGCTGCATATTTATTTAACAGGATTCCTAGTAAGGCAGTTCCAAAGACTCCTTTTGAACTGTGGACAGGAAGGAAACCTAGTTTAAGGCACCTGCGTGTTTGGGGTTGCCCAGCGGAAATAAGGTTATATAATCCACATGAAAAGAAACTGGACTCAAGAACAACCAGTGGTTTCTTCATTGGTTATCCAGAAAAATCTAAAGGTTATAGATTTTATTGTCCTAATCACAGTACAAGAATTATTGAAACTGGAAATGCTAAGTTCATTGAAAATGGTGAAGTTAGTGGGAGTTTGGAACCACATAAAGTGGAGATCCAAGAAATTAGGGTTCAAGTTCCTTTACCCAAAATTTCTTCTCAAGTTGTTGTTCCTACAGTTGTTGAACCTTTTGACAACTTACAAGAACAACTAATATATGATCAAATACCCCACAATGAAATTGTCACTAATGAACCTACATTAGATGAACCACATGAAGTAGTACCTAGAAAGTCTCAACGACAAAAACGGTCTGCTATTTCTGATGATTATGTGGTTTATCTTCATGAATCCGAATTTGACTTAGGAGTCAATGAAGATCCAGTTTCATTTTCACAAGCCATAAAAAGTGCAAATTCTTCTAAATGGTTAGATGCAATGAAAGATGAGTTGAAATCGATGGATCACAACAAAGTCTGGGATATCGTTGAATTGCCTGAAGGTTGTAGAAGAGTCGGGTGTAAATGGGTCTTTAAGACTAAGCGCGATTCGAATGGCAATATTGAACGATATAAAGCCAGACTTGTTGCCAAAGGTTTCACTCAAAAAGATGGCATCAACTATAAAGAAACATTTTCTCTGGTTTCTAAGAAAGATTCATTTAGAATTATCATGGCACTAGTAGCTCATTATGATTTGGAGTTACACCAAATGGATGTGAAAACTGCCTTTCTGAATGGGAATTTAGATGAAGAGGTCTACATGAATCAACCTGAAGGATTTTTGGTTGAAGGAAAGGAACACATGGTGTGTACACTTAAGAAATCAATATACGGACTTAAGCAAGCTTCCCGACAATGGTATCTTAAGTTTAATGATACCATCACGTCCTTTGGATTTAAGGAAAACATTGTTGATCGGTGTATATATCTAAAGGTCAGTGGGAGCAAAATTATATTTCTTATTCTGTATGTTGATGACATCTTGTTGGCTACTAATGATCTTGGCTTATTATATGAAACCAAGAATTTTCTCTCTAAGAACTTTGAGATGAAAGATATGAGTGAGGCATCCTATGTGATTGGAATTGAAATATTTCGTGATAGATCACAAGGATTGTTAGGGTTGTCTCAGAAAACATATATCGAAAGAGTTCTTAAGAGATTCAATATGGAAGGTTGCTCAGCAAGTGTTACTCCAATTCAGAAAAGAGATAAATTCAGTCTTATGCAGTGTCCAAAGAATGATTTGGAACATAAACAAATGGAAGAAATTCCTTATGCATCTATTGTTGGAAGCTTAATGTATGCTCAAACTTGTACCTGACCAGACATTAGTTTTGTTGTCGGGATGCTGGGCAGGTATCAAAGTAATCCAGGAATAGATCATTGGAAAGCTGCAAAGAAAGTTTTGAGGTATCTACAAGGAACAAAGGACCACATGCTCACTTATAGAAGATCTAAAGATCTTGAAGTGATAGGATATTCAGATTCAGATTTTGCTGGATGTGTTGATACCAGAAAATCAACATTTGGCTAGTTGTTCCTTTTGGCTGAAGGAGCAATCTCATGGAAAAGTGCGAAGCAGACTATCACAGCTGCTTCCACTATGGAAGCTGAATTTGTAGTTTGCTTCGAAGCTACAATTCAGGGTTTATGGCTGCGGAATTTTATTTCAGGACTTGGAATTGTCGACAGTATTGCCAAGCCGTTGAAAATTTATTGTGATAACTCCGCAGCAGTCTTTTTTTTTCTAAAAACGACAAGTATTCCAAAGGTGCTAAACACATGGAATTAAAATATCTTGCCGTTAAGGAAGAAGTTCAGAAACATCGGGTGTCAATTGAGCATATTAGTATCAATCTCATGATTGCAGATCCTTTGACAAAAGGATTGTCACCGAAGACATTTAACGAACATGTCGTGAGAATGGGCATTACCAAAACCCTTTATTAGTTTTATGCTCTTTATATTTTGACATTTTGGGCCCAATTTTTCTTGTTTCTGATATTTATAAATCTTGTTTTTATCGTTAGTGTACACTTTATGTTGCATGATGTTTCAACAAGATTTGTCTTTTAATAGACATTATGGGACCATGATGTTAATTCTCATTATGCTAAGTATGTAATTGATATTGTGATACATGGAAGGGACTGTGTCGATAAATTGATGCACAAGCGCCATGATTCATATTAATTTCATACTTATTAAATAATTTATGATTTAACAAATATAAAGAAGGATTTATCTTATATTTTTATTTATGACTCACCATTATTTTAATAACTTTTGAGATTTTTTTTTGATAACTTAAGTTATTAATTTTCATAACTCATAACTTATGTCATAAATTATGACAACTTATGATATTTATTTTGATAACTTAAGTTATTTATTTTCTTAACTCATAACTTATGTCATAATTTATGATAACTTATGATATTTATTTTTGTAACTCTATAACCCCTAAAATAAATAAATGTTACTAACTTATGTCATTGATTTTATTAATAAAAATCAATTAATTTATTAAATTATCATAAATCCTATTGGTTAGTAACCCCCTTGATGGATGGTGGATAAATAGAGCATGAATTTGAGAATGGGTCCTCTCTCTACCCAACACACCTCGTACATTTCTCTCCATCAGAAAGTACAGAAAGTTTTAAGGGATTAGAGAGAGAAACTCCATCTCTTCAAGATCAAATTTGTTCATCATGAATACAGGTATGCGTCGCTTTATTTTTACATAGTAAAAATCATGAATTTAAAAGTTCTTGGCTATTATGTACTTTTCTTTTGTAATTTGTGTATAAAGTTGAAACATGAATTTTCTAACAAACGCTCCCAACCACGCACGTCAACGTTGCTTTAATTCCACACGCACGCCCGACCTGTCACGTATCGCTAGAAACTCGAAAGCGACTGTATGAGTTAAAGATTATTAATGGCTTGAAAATTAATTCAAATTTTAATTCAGTTATTGATTAAATTGAAATAAATGAGTCGAGTTGTGAGTTAAAATTTTGGATTGAATTTTTTCAAGTCTATCCGAGCTCAGGTCAAACTCAGATTTAACAGTCAGGGGCGAAACCTGTCTCTTTTTTGAGAGAGACGAACTGTCCCTTAAACCCAATGTGGGAGCGACTAGGACAACAAAGAACAAAGTGATATACATCAAAATGGGTGAAAGAACAAATTGTCCTTTCATATAAGTAAAAATTTGAACTTCATGAAAATTCTGCTTATAATAACAACCTTAGTGATGTTAGGACTATCAATTTAATAAATATAGCTCGAAAAATTGATTCTAATTTTAGCTCGGATTTAGATTAGAACGAAGTGAACAAGCAATGCTACGAGCTAGAATTTTAGACAGATTCTTTTGAGCCGTTTTTTTGCTGACTCGGCTATACGCCAAACCGGCCATAAACGGTCCCATCAATAGGAGGAAAGTGGCTACAGGAACAGACACACAATATGCCGGCGGGTAAATGGGATGAAATAAAGGAAGGAATTCGAAGCGCGCTCGTGGTTCTGTTCATTCCACTGTCGGTCTTTTTGGTTCTCCTCCTCCTCGGGAGCGACGGTCTTGAATTCTCCGACAACTGTCGACCTTAAAAATTTGCTTCCATTAGGTTTGCATCCATTGCTTGAGTCGAAAGGATTGCTTTTTCTCTCCCATTTTTACTTTGTTTTTTTTTTTATCTCCTGCATGAATTAGATCTCCTGTTCTGATGATTTTTTTTTAATGATGCTTGAATGTGGTTGAGGTTGGAAGTTTCGAGTTTCTATTTCTTTCCAATCTGGTTTTAAATCTTTGCTGCGTTTGATTTTGGGTCTGAACCCGTCTGTTCGATGGCGGGATCACAGGCAGGTTTTCTCGATGATTTTAGGGTGTTCGAATTCTGAACTGTTGATTGGGAATCGCTTTTTCAATTTGAGGAGTATACGTGGAGTCCTTTTATTTTTGTGTGCAACATTTGTTTAAGCGAATACGGTACTGGTTTTGTTTAGATAGGTAAGCACTGAAATCTGATGCAGGCAGTGTCTGTATATTAACGCTATACAGACATTGCGAAAGATGAAGAGACTAGATGTGTAAAGTTGGATACTATTTTTTTTGGGGGCATTTACGTGCGTACCACACAATTCTTATATATTTACATATCCAACACTAAAGTTTTTGTCTTGATATGCAGAGCACTCAAATTTTTGACAGTACATAAAAAATGCACTATTATTAGCTTTTTAAAAGTGAAAAATATCTTTTCCTGCATAGATTATGGCACGCAAGTGTTATGAATGTAAATATCAAACTCTAAGTGTTATATATGTAAATATATAGAAATTTTGTGGCTTGTATGTAAATTTGACTTTTTTCCTTATTTGTCATTAATGGCGGCTTTAGGAAGTAGGATGGAGTAGGACATGGATAAAGATAATTATAAATTTCCATCCGAACATGAGGCAATCATGATATGATGGTTGGCTTCTCTTCTATATTATTTTCTTCTCTAAGTATAAATTTGAATTATTATGCACAATAATGATATTGATTTTTTGAATTGAATTTTTAGACAATAATTACAATGGCATTAAAGGAACCTTAAAGCAGGCTTATGATACTTTATTAATTAATGACCCAAGTGCGATAAAATAAAACATATACATTGACGATTCAGTATTCAGTCAATATTGCTTGCTTTTTTTGTGTTATGCTGAATAACACTGTGGTACTTCACCTTGGCATAAATTAGAGACCAAAAAAGAATCTTTGATCAAGGAAAGATTGGTGGGTAGATATTTGCACATGATGATTTGTTTCCTGTACTTTTAATGGTTACTAGTTTCTTTTTTGTGTGAACTTGGCGCCGGATCTCCTGCCTTGTATCATAGTTTGACTGTGTCATTGAAAGTCAATTACTTGTCATCAATGCTGTTTTTATCAGAACTTAAACGAGTGGACATGTTTTCTCTGTTTCAAGATTCCTTTTTTTTTAAATTTGCCAATTTTTTCATTCCCCCTATTTTAATTGTTACAAAAATGCAAGGTTATTTTCTTCTCAGATCATTATTTTAATGTTTTCAGCTACATAGGTAAAGATGCCAGAGGATGTTTCTGATGGAGTGTTGGGTCATCTTCCTGATGGTTCGCTATCTGAGGCAAAAGAACCTTTGGTAAGCTTTGCTGGTTCTTAATGGTCGGTGTGTGAGGATGTGTTTGAGCTCATTTGGCATTGTGTCTTGTGCTGCGCTTTGTTGTCAAATGAAGCAAGTGATTGTTTGGTGAAAGTATATCAAGATTGCCGTATTAAGTACTATAAGAGTTCGAGTTGTTTGGTGAAAAAAAAAACCTACTGTTACAGTTATGTGAGTTGATTGAATGATCAAAATGGTTACTATTATGAACTTCATAGAATTACAAATATAATATCCTATTCTTAATTAGCCATACAGTTTATTAAATTAATAAATTAGTTTAAAAAGGTTCCAAATCATAAAATTGCCTTTTGAGGAAGCAATGTGCACTCTTTGAAAAACACTTATAGCAAGAAGATATAGTACATTTTGTTAATGTCAACATGACATAGTTTGTACATTTTTTGTAACCCTTTTGTTTTTGGTTAATGCAACATGCACTCTTAAAAAAAAAAAAAAACAGGTTTCACCAGGTTTCACGCTGATAAAACACGCTGATAAAACTTTGACTTTTTTTTAATAAAGAGATGTGGGTACAAATTTTCAACATAATGAAAAGTGGGATAACCAAATTCGTAAGAAAACTTGAATTTCAACAAATTCAAGAACATGAGAATAGGAAGATGGACAAACTCTTGTGTGTTAAGAGAATAAATCTCTTTATGCAGGTATAAACCTTAATTCAATTCAACACTGCCAATCACCTTCATCGAATCTACCTCCTGAAATTCACAAGAGTTAGAATGAAATTTAGTAACATAATTCAAGTCATGAGTAAGCTTGCTAATTGAAATAATTGAAAGTAAGTAAGTTGTAATCTAGTTGGGTAACATCTAACACTCTCCTTTCCCAATAATCATGGAGTTTAATCCATTAACAAGTCTAACAAATTTGGATGTTGTGATCTCCTAGTAGTTGGTGAGACCATACATGTCTTCAGTCATGTGAAAGTCCCTTTCATAATTGAATGTTTAATTTCCTCTCATTCAGATGTATTTCAGAACAATTTAAAAGTTGTTTTCAAAGGTTTTTTAAAAAGCGTAAAATAGTGGTATCTTCAAAATTTATTTTTTTGCCAATATTCATAAGATTACAACCAATCTGCATGTTCTTTTCCAACGACAAGCAACATCCATTTCTAGAAAATTTCTAGCTATAAAAGTTCTCAAGAGATGATTAGTAGCAACATCTATTTATGAAGATTTACCAAATATAGAAACTAAAGGGTATAAGTTATGTGAATTGAAAAAAAAAAATGTAATCGATGTTAAGATTAAGCAACCCAAATAGGTGTGTTAGGTGGTTCCATAGTTGCATCAAATTTGGGAGACCACTTAAACATATTTATCAGAAAGCTACATGCATAGTAACTACATTTAGAGGAGATTTTATCCCTGCATTTGAAGATAGTCTAATAAAGATGTGATAAGGACTAATAAGCTCAACTGAATACTCACCCACTAAGTATAAATTTGATAAGAATTTGCGAATGTCATTCCCGCTTGGATGACTTGAGGAGCAGGATTTGTCTAAAATAAACAAAGGGAGCTGCCTAGCAAGCTCAGAAATCTTCTTAAAAAAATGAGTGCAGCCTTGATATGATGTTTGTTAATGCTTTAGGGGAGTTGAATCTTTAAAAGAGGAAGGGAAAGTGGATGAAAGAAAATTGATGAGTTAACCCACCCACAGTTTAAACAAGGAAAAAATTGTGAGTAATAAGAGGTGTACGGTGCGATGAAATTTGAAACCGAAAGGGGCTCCAAGATAGTCGACACGAGGGCAAAAGAAGGCGACTAAATCAAAGAAGCCAACGAAACCCTAGGAGCATCTAAGAAGGGGAGAGATTGCAATAGAATAGGGACAATTGAAATGAAGGGTCGACAAATGTTGCTTGATAAGTTATGAGGAAAAGAACAAGGATCTTGAGCATGAAATAAACTTTTTTGAAAAGGAGAACAATTATTAGTGAGGGAGAAGGAATGTATGGCTACCGCCCTAGTTGGCACAATATGAGCCATAGCTACAACAACACGTGTAATCATCTGTGACACAGATGTGCGAGTAGCACCAATCGTGTGTGAACATGCGAGCATTGAACGTGCAAGTTAAGAAGGTGAGGACAGACGAAATTTCAATACAATGATGAAATTGGAGGGAGATGATCCACTTTAGCGCAACGAAAAATTTAGCCACTGTTGTTTCAGAGCACTTGACATTATCTTACAAATATGAACTCAAATGAAGGCTTAAGTAGGTTTTGTGGTAACTTGCTTAATGCTTTAGAATTTTATATAGCGATAAATGATTGGATTGTACTATAAATAAATTATAAATTGCATGCCAGAAACCATTGCCATTGTTGTAGACTTCATTATTGTATTGTAGCATTTCCTTTCTTTTTTATTTTTTCCTATGATCAACACCATAATTTCCCCCTTGATGGCTAATAATAACAATACTCATATACCCTTTATCTTAGGTTTTCTTGAAATTAAGAGATGCATTAAAAAACCACGTCGAGAGCTACAAAACATTTGTTCATAGTATTGGTTAATTGGGAAAGAACAATCTAAAGTTGTTGCAATTTGTGCTTAGATTCTTAAAGGGTGAAAGAAAATGAGGCCATCTACTAAGCATAGAACGATAATGGGTTTGCTATGAACAGAAAAAAAAACATCTGTAGTAGGTGAACAACTTGTTGCCATGTTTATTGAAGGATTATTGTGGTCATTTTTAGATATTATCCTAAAATCTTTAAATGGATGACATTTATTTATATATTTGATAGTGAGCTAGAAACACCTGCATAATTTTCACCACCCGAGACCCTCACTTATCAAGGCTTCTAATTTCTTCCTTCCGCTTTCGTTGCCATCTCATCGATTCATGTGATACCTACCACTTGCCCATCAATTCCTAAACTATTGCCATTATTTTTATATTTATTATTTTAGTTACTCAATAATTTGTGGATTACTGATCCCGACTTAATGCTTATGCACAGTATAACAATAGTTCTAATGGTATTTTTCACTTATATTTTCTTATTTTGCAACAAAACTAAAAATTTGATCCTGAAGAAAAATAAGAATTTAACTTTTTAATTTATATATATTTATATTGGGATACTACGCAATTATACATATCATTATCAAGTAATAGAAGACTTTTTGATTAAGACATGAATATCGAACCCACAGGGAAGATTATGCAATATGCACTTTTTAGAAAGTTTTTCTATTTTTAAAAAGGTAATTACTTAAACTAAAAATGATTTTTTGCAGGAATTTAAAATTTAATTATTTTTGATATTTTTGATATTTTAACGAAACAGTAACTTAAAAAGATAACTAAAATTTTTGTAGAAAAAAAGTACTTAATATGAAAATATCTTTCTTCTTATCATGAATCAGTAATAAATATAGAAATTTTATTGTGGAAGTATGCAAATTGTGTCGTGCTAAATAGAAGTAATAATATTCTTTACCCTTACTAGAGATGCTATAAAGAACATTGACTAATTTAAAGTTTGAATAGTTATGAAGACCGGCTAGGCAGTGAAGATACTAACTCTCACTCTAGAATTCCCTCGATTCCCTCCACTTGGGGGCTAATATTCTCGTATCAGAACATAAAATAATAAATCAAGTTGGGGGCTTTAACCTGTCACTTTAAAGTCCTATAACTCTAC